GTATAAAGCTCCTCAGTGTTTCGGACTTTGGATTTTCTTAATTAAGTTCAAGCAAGTTCTGCCCATTTTAAAGATGAGACCATTCGTGAAAAGATACAAACACAGTCAGCATTACACACCAATTTAAATAGACCTCCCTCCTCTTTCCTCTGTGTTCATTTGTGAGAGAAGAAAAGAATTTCCCCATCACAATATCCCTCCCAGGAGTGGGCAAGTTTTGGTTTCCTGTCCAAATGATTAATCTTTCACATTATTTCGCAGAGGGACTCATAACACCATAACACTACCTGTGGACCCAATTACACAACTGACAACAGTATCAATGTAGCTCTCTGACTTATGGCAACATAAACAAGGCCTTTGTGCTACATCAGCATAAGTGATTTACAGAAATGATCTGCATAGATTAGCAGGCCAGAATGGATGCATAAAGATGTATTTTGTTAAAGATGCAAAACAGTGAGCAGGCTGATCATGATACAGACCTGTCACCAGTGCCTATGATATAGAAACACACTTATTAAAACTGGTTTGTTTCACATACGTGCTGCAATAAAGCACAAAGTGAAAGAATGTGCTCTCCGTTGAGAAACCTATTGTCTAAAATACTTTTATTATCACAGGCAGGGTGTATTGGAAAAAACAGAACACTTTCCGCTTCAAAACAAGTCCAGTGGAGACAGGAGATACTTCATGGTCCACCCCAAGCCCAGCTAATATGCCAGCTACACTGCAAGTAATTTCATTGCTATTCATCCCATGGTCTCTTCTTCCTGTCTTTCACTTCAGTGTGCAACACACAGTGATCACTGGAACACGCTAGAGGTACCACACCTGCCCTGATTACATAAACGCTTACTGTCGTAGGACGACTCCTGACACTAGTAGCAGGCCAAATTGCCATTCTGAGTTTTTTCGCAGCAGTTAGACCAAGTGCATTATATTCACATTATCATACTGCCACAAGCACTTTGGGTTAAGGTACAGCACTGAGCATCTTGTCTACCCTGCAAGGCAGCATTATTCACACTGATGAATGCTGATGAGTGTGGCGCAAACTCCTGAAATTTGGAGGTTACACTGAAGCAAAGGATGTGGCATTCTGTATTTGGTAAACAATGATGCTGAGGTGTAGAGTCAAAGCAGAGCAGAGCACCTGTGTGTTCCTTTCTGTCTGCTTGTGGTGTGCTTTGCTTTGCTGGACAACTTGACTGCGGGAGCAATTGACCAGCAGTCGCCACTGAGATCCCAATAAAAATATAAAAAACATCACCCATTCAATTAGTGATTCGTGGCCCTGGATGTATCATGCAAACATAACCAGCAGGATGGAGTAGTAATCAATCATGTTTGTTTGTCCCCTGCTAACAGCAGCAGCAGTCTGTGGCCAGAGTGCCACGGACTACATATGCACATTAAGAAAACAGGGTTGTTTTTAAGGCACTGTTTCCTCGCTTTGATTGATGGCAGTAAGGAGTGACAGTTAACAAAGGGAGATAGAGAGGGAGATGGCATATTGCAAAGGTCCTTGGTTGGATTTGAACCAGGATTTAGTCGACTCAACCCGATAAGCCCCCAGGACACCATGCGTACTGTCGTCGCATTTTGCGCAACAAGAACCCAAAGCATGTTCATGTTCATTGTGTTGTGTGTATTTTTTACATGTTAGGTGTTGTTGGCAGCACTAGAGGTGAACGAACAGGTGTGTTTTGTGGCATGAATGAAGAGATGACATAGATTAATGAGTTCGGTCTGCGGCAGACCATTATATTGAAGGCCACTGCTGCCCACTGTGGGTGGGTGGGTGGGGTGGGTGTGTGGACCGTGACATGGCCAGCAGCTAAAAATAGCCAAAGAGAATAAACAGGCTGCTGCTATGGCGTGTTTCCTCCCTCTTATTGACAAAAACACACACAAGCACGTACAGACGCAGCCACACACACATTTGCGCATACTGCACATGGCGTACTTACAAACCCTTCAAACTCACAGCTGGTGGCCTAACGTCAAGCCAGTTATGGGCCTTCCTCAACTTTGAATTTCACAGAATAAATAAATGACACCTTTGAAAATGATGTTATATCCGAGCCTTGCACTGGCAGCAGGCAGCAGAGAAACAGAGTGGGAGAGAACGCATGCTTGCTTTTTCAACCTTGTCCTCACGTCTTTTTTTTAGTATTCAAATATGTTGCAGCTTTCTATTAATAGAAAGGTGCCCCACATTGATTGAATGCTTATTATTGTAATTGAACTGAATGTGACTTTTGCTCCCCCTCTCCTGCAGATGCTCACAGTAAATTACAGCCATCCGCATTTCTTTGTCTCCCTCCCTGTCTCTATCGTCACACACAAGCCCAGTTTAATGCAAGGCGACATGGCTGGTTAGCTTAAAGCTGCTGTAGTACTTTTTAGTGCATATATTCAGCACAGTGGACACAATGGGATATTCTGGAACCAAATACATTCAGCTGAAAATGCTATGTGCATTGCTCCTTAGTGTATCTTTCTAATGAGGGCGTTATGAACAGATGATGGTGTGTCTCTCTCAAGTGCTGACAGCGTCAGAAGCAGGAGCTGTGGATTGCAAGTGTGTCCACGGTGTTGTTTGGATGATGGAGTGGACACATTTTATGACAAATTGGAAAGGGAAAATACAGTAGGCAGTGACGGCTCAGGGATGAGGCAGCCGGTACAGTCAGTCAACTCTTTTTTGGCCTGAGATTGATGAGAACATGCTTACAAAGGGAGAAGCTGGAGGTGACTGTTAAGTTTGGTTAGCCCCTCACCTTTGAGTTCTTCTTTATAACTTACTTTTCTCTGTCTTCACTCACAGAATGTTCTGTATAAACGTTCACATGGGATTCAGTCTCCATTATCACATCATGATATCACTGTCAGGGTGTATAATATATTCTGATAAATACAGACAGCAAAGGTTAATTGGCCAAACAGTTGATTCAATCACTGTCAGCCACACTAGCTCTCAAATCTATCTGGCTCCATGGCCCAAAGTGTTTCTTCAGCATGATGCTACAATTTGGGTTGCTATGGCAACAGCCCACACAAGCGCACACATGCCCACATAGTACACTAGAATTAAAAAAAAAAAAAACCCTGCATAAACTCATCTCTATGAACACCCTCTAGGAAGAAAAAACAACATTTTGTAGTCTTTTGCAACCTGCAGTGCATCAACGCATTTCTATATGGAAAGTTAGTAATTACAGATATAAAGCTGCTGCTAACTAGAGTTATTCCGCCCACATGATGGGACGCGGGCTGGCTTCAACTCCCCGGAGTACCCATGCATGCAGGTGGTGTTAGTAGAGCTGGAAGCCTCTACTGCACAAAGTATGACAGTACTCCACATAACACATTTGCCTGCTTTAGAAGCTGTGGTGCACAATCCTGCTCTGCTGATTATTTTGTATCACTGCTACCTCACACATCATGACTCATAGGATAGCTGATTGGCTGCCAGTTTGGTAATAATTAATGAAAGGAGACACAGTCAATTGCCCTTAATAATTTCTCTGTACCCCAAGTAATTAACGACCGTGTCGTCAGTGGTTTTGTTGTCATCAAGAGAATAATTTACTTCTGTCAATTAGGGGTCAGCGAGATGCTTAAATACCTGTAGTCCCAAACACTGTCAAATGAATGTCATTATGGCATCAAGGGTTTAAGAAAAAAACTGTATAAGTGATGAACATTGTGTTGTTGGAAAAGAAACTTGACTTCCCATGAATTTTTGCACCTTAGATGCATATTTTCACGCTTCAACTCCAATAACCCTCTTGCCATATTCAAATCATATTTGCATGGCAAAGAGATGGTGGCAGCCTATGTGCTTGACAGCCAGAGTGCTAAAGTCACATTCAAATAATTCATCAGGTCCATATGTGATTGCCATAAAGATGATTTGGGAACACACTGTTCTGAATATCTGCAGATCCATATGATAGTGCCACAGCCCTTGACCTTCAAACAACAGTCCCCACACAGTTAAGACATAGTATACATGCACACCATGGCTCTGTTTAGTCAATGCAGCATTATTGATCACTTGTCACTGGAAGGAAGGAACATGGCAAGGAAATCAATTACACATATGCAGTGTATAATCAAATTTCAGGAAAAACGCTTGGCTAAGGGGAAATGTACAGCTGACACATAAGCTTGATGGGGAAATATCATTGCTGTATTGAACACTATTCATATGAACTGAGAGTGAGGGATGGAGAGAGAAGAGTGGGTAGTGTAGGTAACGATCTGAGGGATTATAAGGGATACATAATTTAATATCTCTATTTATTCATTTAAGACCAGGGAGTGGGAAGATCATTACATATTGATAGCTAATATAAGTTAGGTTTTGATTACTTGGCATAAGGTGTGTCAGCCTGGGTTTATCGCTGCCTTACTGTGGACTGCTGTTTAAAGTGGTCAGGCCATCTTCTTCTCTTATGTGGATCAGGTTACTTGCTGTGGGTCAAATGGAGCATCTCAAATGGTTGGTTAGCTGTTACCTTTGAGGTTTTAGCTGTTTTACTTGTAATGGGTCTTTGGAGGAAGCAATTTGTTGTGCTTATGTCTTAAATAATCTAGAATTAATATTATTTTGTGACAGTTTTTAGCGGGGGTTCCTCACAGAGCTGCAAAGTAATAGACCAGGTGTTATTGTGCATTTACAGTAAGAATCAACATTAAATTTCATGGTCGAGTCCCCAGTGCAAATTGTGCACACTTCAAAACCAACCTTTAAAGAGGGGCACTGATAGTGATAGTGATTTCTAAGATATGAGATAAAGGTAATGGCCTGTGTGTGTTTCTTGTTTCTGTGTGCTTATACTACAGCCCGACGATTATCTGTAAATAACTGAATCAATAAACTCTAACTCATCCACACTTCGCCGGAAAGGGAAGGAGCTGGTTTCATTTTGTAGTGTTACAGAATATAATTTCCTGCTCAGTTGCATTAAGGTTTTCACCTCTAGGATGTGGTGTAGCCCGTGCGCACTCCTCCACTCCTCCTTATGTAGTATACAGCGGGACACTCCGCAGTTGGCTTATCCCGTTCCTTCCCGTTGCCTTTTACGCGCACGACGTCTGCAGCACAGTGATTCAGTGAGTCCGTCCTCTCTGCACGCCACAAGCTTTTTGGATGAAGGCAGGACTCTTTCCCTTGTGTTCCGATGGCGAAACGGGACTGGTTCTGTCCCGGTGATCGTTTGTAGAGGAAGATATTCAAGCTTTTTTTTTCTTCCACCCTCCTTTCTCTTCTCGACTCATTTTTAACAATATGTGGGACGCGCGTTCTCTGCGCGGCGTCCGCGGAGTGCTCTCTTCGGTCGCGGCCGCTTGACTGAAGGGGGATCCCGGCTCCCTTTTCATCCTCTACTCCCTTAGGAACAAGAGAGAGTTTGCATGCAAAAGGTGGTTTATCTCGGCAAGGTGAGAGAGACTATTTTTTCTCTGACTTTTAAAATGGGATATCACTTTGAACTGAGTGGAAGAATTCGTGCGCTGTACGGTACGGATTTTATAGGCTTATTTACATAGATGTTGGGTTAGGAAAATCTTACAGGACACAAAATACGTTGTAGCGTAACAGGTATGCAGTGTTTTTTAATTTATAGGACTGCGGAACAAGTCAAGACATATAGATTAGCAACGTGATGCCGCTTTACATCCTTTCGAGATATATATTCTCATAATATTCCATGTGAATAGTAAAATTGGCTGCTTTGTCACAGATGCTTGGTACAAATAGTCAGGCAGTACAAAATGTGACTTAAAACTGTTGCATTCAAGAACATCCGCTTATCTCAATACTGTGCAAGAATGATACAGTCCTATTCCTAATTAAAATGGTAACCTGCTTCAATGAATGAATAAAAACTCTAATATTTGCAACTATTTGTATAATTTTGATGACTTATTCAAGTGTAAGGTGCATTTTAATCCACTGTTGAAATTAAAAACTCCAGTGGCTCTTTTCATGTGCAAGGGGATTTATATTAGTCAGGGAATGTGATTATAATGACCAAGCGTGGCATGTGGAAATATATTTGAAAAAATAACAAGTTGAATAAGACTCAAGAAATTGCTGTCACACTCGCCACCTCCATCCAAATAGTGAGAGCACATCAGTAGATCTGTAGTCTTCCTTCAGTTGATTTGTTTCCTGACCTACCACTGAGTCCCATTTCGACCGATGGGCTGCATAGAGAGTAGTGCTCCAGCAGGAGTTCGTTGCCTCACTACAGCCATAACAGTGCTAGAGTGGAGTGGCAAAGCAAAGCAGCCATATTGACTGTTAAAACAAAATTATTGATTCTGTTTAACACCTTCAAAATGAGATATAAGGGATCTATAACACTGTGCAGCTGTTACTATTTTTGAGTGACATCTGAAGTAACAGGTGATAATAGCTTATATATCCTTTGTGTCTTGGAATGTGCCAAACACAGAACATTTAAAAAATGTCCAATATTGTAATAAATCCCAATTTCGATGCTGAACTTGATTAACTTACAAACTGTCTTTTATTGTTTTCCCAGCCATGGAGGGACTTCCCTAAAGAGGAGCCAACATAATAAAACATTTTTAGACTTTTTTTTCTATTTTCCTTTTTTGTGTCATCGTAACATCTACCCCAGTAAGTCTCCTTTTCCATCACCATGGCTGAGAAGCTTGGACCAGCAGGGGTCAAGCCCACCAACATCCAAACCACTCCCTCCCTGCCCCCGGAGCCCATGGACATCATCCGCACCAAAGCCCGCTCCCGCAGAGTCCGCCTTAACGTTGGGGGTCTGAACCACGAGGTCTTGTGGCGGACCCTAGACCGGCTACCCAGGACCAGGCTCGGCAAGCTACGGGACTGCAACACCCATGAGTCCCTGATGGAAGTCTGTGACGACTACAGCCTGAACGAAAATGAGTACTTCTTCGACCGGCACCCGGGGGCCTTCACCTCCATTCTGAACTTTTACCGCACGGGCAAGTTACACATGATGGAGGAAATGTGTGCCCTTTCGTTTGGCCAGGAGTTAGACTACTGGGGGATCGATGAGATCTACCTGGAGTCCTGCTGCCAGGCCCGGTACCACCAGAAAAAAGAGCAGATGAATGAGGAGTTGCGCAGGGAGGCAGAGACAATGAGGGAGAGGGAGGGAGAGGGAGAGTTTGATAACACCTGCTGCCCAGACAAGAGGAAGAAGCTGTGGGATCTCCTGGAGAAGCCCAGCTCCTCGGTGGCTGCCAAGGTAGGGAACCGAAACTGGAAGTGCGATCACACCGCCCCCATGTCACATTTCCTGATCACATTCAAAGCCGAACACTCTGCCTGGATCATAGCACATTACAAGCACACTTATTAAAGGCCTACTCCCACCTGTAGAAAATAAGCATGAGTTCATCAATTTGAATCTTAAACAGGCGTGTACTGTACTCTCATCAGGTGTTTTCTTTCGCCATCTGTCGGCTTTCCATCTTTGTAAGCAGCAACAGTTGTTTAGGATGAATTAAATATAGAGAAAGCTGCTGATGTGATGGAAGAAACAAAGCAGAAGATACGGATCGGAAGTAGATGTGTGGAGTGCAAGCAAACATCACAGTAAAGGAAAACCTATAGTTCTGGCGCTGATAAATTAGTAGTGAAATCATTGCAGGAGCTGCATTTAGACTCACTTTGCTTTGACAAACTAATTGGTAAGTGCGTCAGCTTCTAGTGTTGCTTTCTAAGCAAGGATAAAGTGTGTCTGTGTAGACCAGATCCATCAATGACTTGTGACAGCGTACAAGTTTCTTTTCCAGTGCTATTATGTGTCAGTCTTACTCACTGATTGGATGCCCTCCTTTCTGGATCTGACTGTGAGACAGCGAAATTACAGGATGATGTCAAAAGTTTGTTGCAGGTGTCTCACTGAGTACTGTTGTTTCTGGTGCCATTTACTATATTTACCTCGAGCACATTCATTTGATTTGATTTGCGACTTGAGGTAGTCATCAGTGCTTCTCCCTTCCCGCGTACCACATGTTGAGAAAACTGCTGCATCAGTTACATGCAGGATTCTTTAGTAGATAATAAATCTTACAGAAATCAAAGGACTGTGTAGCAATATCAAGGCTGTTCCTGGTAAAATGATGACGTCTCTTTCAACTCCTCCTCATTTCATCCCCACTCTGGCTCAGTCCTCAATTAGGTAGGTCAACCTTGATGAAATCCAATCACTGGTAATTTACCTTTGGTCTCCAGTATCCTGTATCTCATCATCAGGCAGTGCAGGGCAGGGCTGGCTGGGATTATATTCCATGTCAGAGGATCATAAACACAGGGTCCTGCGTGTGTGTGACCAAAGCAACGTCATCCCCTCTGTGTGAGAAATGCAGCTCCTGATGTGCTGTATGTGCTGTGTGGTGCATTGTTGCGGCCTCTCCCCTTGAAGCAAACAATATTTCCCTATGGCTGAGACAGTTTGGAAATCATGTTAGATTCAATTTCAGAACCCTGGTGCCTTGTGCAAAATTTATAGTGCACTATTCAGCTTTAAAAATGGCAAGAATATGGTAATGGCATGGAATACATAAGGTTCAACTCCTTTTTATGGGGCTACTATACACGTTGTGCTTTTCCTGCAGGGCTTGTTTTCCCTGAATCAACTAGTAGATTTGTGATTGACAAGGATCCTGCGTCAGCTTAATAAGTGTATTCAGCCTACAATGGGTAAGTTGTATATCACAAGAATTAATTATCAGGATGCTGCCAATATATCTAAAGTAAGGCAAACTCAGGTGACAGCAGAGGCGTAATTTGACACACTGTCATATTTAAAGTAATTTACCTCCTCAGTACGGTCACTCAGTCTACAAACACGTCTCAGTACTGCTGACCTGTTCACTATCATGTGGGGGAAGCCTGTAAACCCTGTAAGGGAAATCCTGCCCTGATTTAAGTTGCATTGACATTCTGCTGAGTGCTCTACGAGGAGAACTTGAACGTGACTCCTAATGGCTCAGCCCTGTGATCGCACTAAGGTTATCCAGCTAACAGTACATTTGGAAATAGACTACCAGGACTGCTTGACTGTCAGATGGCAGCTCCCTGAGGTCAGGGAAGCCTTTTATGGGGCACACACCGTGCAGTGAGAACCCTTGAAAGCCCTTGACCAAGGAAATGACATTACTAGGCTGGTACACAGCCGTGTGCTTTTATACAAAGCAACCTGAGCCCTTTGTCAAATGCAATCACGGAGTCCTCTGGCATATACATATTCTCTATCCCTCTCTGTCTCTCTCTTTTCTCTCACTCTCTTCCTTTTTCCTCTCCCACTGCCTTAATCAGATATTAGATACCAGTGTGCTGCTTTATGGCACCTATGGCCCTTGCTGCCCTTAAATAAAGGTTAAGCATGAGAGGACTGACCTTTTCAGCTGGGCCAATCAAGCTAGGATTACATTCATTAGCAACAACAGCGGTGCATGCTTTAGGAGAACGGGCCAGCCCATGTGGAATGGAAAAGATGGAAACTAAGCCGATATTGCGCCAAGAAAAACAGTGGCCGAAGAAAGCGGCAGAGAGGTGTTTAGAGAAAGCCACAAGTGAAGGAAGAGAGGTGGCTGAAAATATAGTGGCAGAGGAAATCCCTGAGAGAGAGAGTGATGTAAGAGATGCAGTCATGTAAGTCACGCCTCAGGATGCTGAGCTGGATCTTTGCAAACCTTTCCCAATGAATAATGAATGCAATGGTCAAAACAAAGAGGACACAGGCTGTGGCTTCTTTGTGTTACTGCGTGACTTTTGGTTGAGTACTCCGTCGCGTGAGGAAGAAGAGGAGGGGCAGGGCTTTATCTTGTGTCCAGTGCTTGACTTGTCACAGGTGAGCATCCTCGGGGAAAAGTGTAAAAGTTCATGTCACAACAAGATTTTGCAAGGCCTTGTACTCCATATGTGCACTCACACCCTTCAGTTGAACTTCCGTCACACCTGTGTTTTGGAAGCTAGAATTGCAAAACTTGCAAAAGAGGTTGATCAGCAAAACAGATTAAAGTCATATCTGTCAACAACCGTGCATTTTTCTTTAAGCTACAGTAGGCAACATACAAAGTGCAAAAACCTTACGCTTCTCTCTGCTGTCTCATATCACTCCACTAAGCCCCTACCACTTAATGATGCACCAAACGCGCACAGATGACTTGGTGTAGTGCTACCAATAGCACTCTGTCAAGAAGGAATAGGACCACCTCCACAGCTCTATCCATCCTGAAAATGTCACTCCGATGTTGACCCTCGTCTGATCTCTGTTTTCATTTAGTAATTTCTTTTTCTCTGTCTTCCTTCTCTGTTCTGTGTTCGCTAACCCCAATTCGTTGTCTGGGCACTTATAGACACACTTTTGTTTTGTTTTTTGCCTTTTTGCATTTTTTCGGGAGTGAGAGACAGAAAAGGCAGGCGAAAGAGTTAGATAGTATGCAGCAAAGGGGCCAGGACTGGATTTGAACCTGTGCCGTTGCGTTAAGGACTCAAAAACAAAATTATAATGGAATAATATTGCCTACTGCAGCTTTAAGTGCTACATATCTGCTCTGTTTCTCCACAGCTTATAGCCACTGGTAAAAAGCTGTCATGTGCTATTAAATCATATAAGATTAAAGTGGCAATAATCTTTAGAAAAAATATCAGATGCATGTTTCCGTTGTTTCCTTACTCTAGGCTATAATTTCTATTAATCCAGTAGAACGTGTCATCCTTGATATTGAGCCAGAGGGATTTGTGCTGCCCTGACCCTCTTTTGTTTACAATGAGTCAGTCACGGGTGTTGTTGTGCAGCAAATACACTTAGAACGAGCTCATTCACCAAGGCCATATCCAAATTGCTGGATTGCTGTAAGGAGTCTGAATTACAGTGACTTGTGCTTTTTATATTTCCCTGAGTAAATGTGTTGCCATTACCAATCATCATTCTTGCAAAGACGCATCTTTGTGCATATAACTTGTGACCTGCCTGTGTTTTTACACTGGAAGCATCTTTTGTCAGCGTGATGGGAAATGGAATTAGATGCCTCAGATGCATTTCTTTCTGTGTTCAGATGAGCGCACAACGATATGCAGAAAGTGTGTAATAAATATCAGGACCTTGCCAGCCATTTGCTACACAACTTGTGATTTAGTGAGTGCTTCAGTATTAACATATGAGTCAGGCTGTGCTCCCTGTATCATAAATTAACGCTATTACTTGTTACATGGATGCCTACAGTGCTCAGTTTTAATATATGTTTCATAGTTTGCAAGAGCAGCATCTTTTCATTTTGATTTGTGTCCATGCAAAGCTACTAGATACGCTTTTCAGAATATTAACAACGTCATATGAAATATTAACGTTGTATCACACCCATCACTCTAAGACAGCAAACATTCCCCTGTTTGGGTTTTCTTCACTTTAGAGTCCACTCAGTCTGGCCAGCCCTGGAAAATAATGGCCAAGGATTCAGAGCATTTTAAAGAGATCAATGTTTCTACTTGCCAGACATTTCAAGTTGGGTTTTCTATCTCCCCCCCCCCTCCCTGCATCAGCCACGTCTAGCCTTGTGCTTGCTCTTATTGTGCATGTGCACCATTACTCTTGCCTTTATCTAATAATGTAGTCTAGCTAGTGGGAATGCTAAGCAATGGGCCTTCATGGGCGCAGACTTGTGCTGTTTGGTCCTCCCACGCTTGGGAGCAGCCAAAGTCAGTCCAACACAGACACTGTTGATGATGACACAATGTGAGCGAGCTGTAGCATAATAAGGTACTGTAACAGACACCTTAAATGCCAGTCTTTGTGAATGTGAATTTTGTCATATTCATCTGCCTTAATGCAGTGCAGCCACCAGTGCACAATACACACTTTTGATTTTGTTTATGTATATAATTTATGTAATTGTGAATAAGTGACAGAGCAGCAGAAAATGCTGAAAATGTGGAGCAAATTCAGTAAGTCCACAGCTGTCTGTTGTTTCAGATCACTGCAGACAGCCTCTTTCTCTCCACCCGTCCATTTTCTTCCAAGCTTTTACAGCTCTGCTGCAAGCATTTTGCCTTTTGTGTGTATTGATGTAGTTTCTGATAGTCGAAAGGGAAAGATGAAGGGAGGTGGGGATAGGGAAAGTGAGGGAGAGGCCTTTAGTCAGCATTAAGCCAAATGTTCTCCACGGTATGTGCCATTGGGGCAAATTCAAGCAGCGGGTCCACTACCTTGTGTTTTGATATCATCCTTTCATCCCT